AAAAAAAAAAAAAAAAAAAAAAAAAAAAAAAAAAGCTGCTGCCTTTGGGTCTCCAGCACCCAAGAACAAAAATAAGTCTGACAAACGTAATATATTTTCCAGTACCTGTCCCAGAAGTTTGAAAGTAACTCCTTAAATTGCTTTTGTTTTCATTTTACAGCCCCGGGGGGAAAAGATCTATCAAACTTAGTATATGCATTTTACCTTGTGGCACTTTGGGATTCAACCATAACCTTTAAATACATTTTTTTGTTTTTAAAAAACTTTCTTTACCAGAGACATGGTCTGAACCAGTGCCAAAGATTTCAAGCCAGTGAACCAGCTAAGGAGTCAGATAAATCAGAATGAGTGTAACAGATCTGATCTATTTCAGCTCAGATTAACCTCTTTACTATGTCTTCAATGGCCCCAAATCCTGGGTCACAGGAATAAAAATGTCTAATGGAGCAGAGCCTCAGGGAAAAAAATAATAAAAAAGGAGTGAATTACATAAAGAAAAGTGAGACGTGTGACCATTGGCTGTATGTGGCTATGGTGAGATTCAGAGCGGAGAGGGAAACATTCCTTACTGTGCCAGTCTGAAAGCCAGATTTATTTCATTTGTATGTAGTAATTCCATAATTCCAGATCTCAGTGGCAATTTACATTAGTTGGTAACAGCTGTTTATAGGTCAGGTAACAATAGCATTGAATAACCTTGTAATGAACAACTGTGGATTTCAGATTGGTGTTAACTGCATTTCATTCTCTTAGCCTCAAGCAGGGTATGTGAAAAATACAGAACCAGATTCTGCTTTTTTAATTTTCCCCCTCTAGGAGAGGGGAAATTTTCAGAAGGAAGGTCCAGGATGGAAAGATGATCAGGAGGCTTGGACCAAATAGGTCTTTCTGGGAAGAAGTCTGTGGATGTTTTTGGGAATGAGATGCACATACTGAGCTAAAAGGAGTTGTCAGTGATGTGCAGAGGAGCTCGTTCTTGGTAACTAGTCAGAACTAGGAGGATTGTATGCCAGCTGACCACGGAAATTAATGTATTAATTCCTCTTCTTGGTCACCACTTGTTTCATTGAATCCTGAAACTTAAATATGGTGTTTTATTGAGGGTAATAGTCCAGCTCTCCATCCAGGCCTATATGATGTGGGTGAAGAAGGATGCTGGGCTAGTGTTTCTCACATTTTGAAGAGCATCAGAATTAGCTGAGATATTGCCAAAATGTAGATTCAGTTGGGATGTGTGTATGTGTGTGGGGGTGGTTATATTTCTAACAAGTGTAGTGGGTGTTCTAGGTCTTTGGACCACACTTACAGTATTGGGTTATAAATCCAGGCATTTTAGCAATTCTGGGGCTTTGCCACTCTGTGTACCATTGAATTCTCTGAGGCAAGAGATGAGTTACACCAAATAGCACCCAGCGATGCTGAATCCATTTATGTGATATCATGGGACCCCAGGTTCTGCCTTGACTGCAACTTTCACTAAGATTTCTCCAGAGAACATGGGCTGTGGTGACTAACACTGTTGAAATTTTCACAGTAGCTACTTTAAACTACTTCAGAGAAAACTGTAATAAGTTTTGGGTAAGTGGTAGTGTGTGACCTTTCTTCAGTACTGATATTCAGTAATATTGCGTGGAGATAAAGAAGTATATGCATTTCAAACCCTTTCCTGTTTAAGATGCCATTATAATGTAAAGGTGCATTGACAAGACAAATGGTATTAGTACAAGCTAAGAATGGGAATCTTTCCTTGCAGCACGAGCTGCAGAATATTCTTATTTTACACAATTGTTTACCTCTTTAGGAAAATCAAGTAGCATTACATGTATTGTTACAAGTTAGTATGCAATATTAATGCATGTTATTTAATATTTCATTTTATTACTTATCCATATATATTTTCACTGTAAATGATATGAATTATTATGAACTTCTTTAATAAACTTTTATGGTACTTTTCCTCTGCAAATTATGTTGCGTTAGAGAAGCTTGAAAGAATATCAAAGTGTTGCAGACCATAAGCTAGGTGAATATTTATAACTTGGTAGGGAAAGTAGAACTAGATATGTGGATTTGAGAATTTTTCCATACTGTACAGTGATAGTTGGAGTTTTGGAATGGAAAGGATGACTTGGGAGAATCTTGGAGCGAGTATCTTTCATTCTAAACCCTCCTTATATATCCCAAGTGAGGCCCCGTTTCTCTTATAAAATGTCCACCCTTAATCAGAACATTGAGCGAGACTGTTAAAGTTGAGAGGGATTTTAAAGAATTTTATAGTATGTAACCATAGTAATTAAATATACTTGTTTCTTGGGAATATATGCACATTAAAAGTGAATGATGACTATTTTTTGTTTAACAAATATGAGTTGACTGTCCGTTATTTTTGGGGGGATTAATCAAGCATGGTGCAGGGTCCTGAGGAATTTGCTATCATTTATCACTTATCACATGATATTTTATTCGTTAACTTGTAAAAGTCATATGGAAGAGAAGGGAAGAAAAGAAAGACTAAGCTTTGGCATCGCAGGAAATACTTCTCACAGGAAGTGTCAAGTGAATGCATGAACAATATTTCTACAAAATTGCTAGTGAAAGCTGGCAGCATTATGCATAATATGTACAGAGATAATTCCAGCAGTGGATTAGATTACTCATTAGTTCTTAGAATTTATTTTGCTCACTGATTTGAAGACTGAGTGACTTGGCAATTTTTATATTTAAGAGTGAAATTCTTAATCTTGCTAGTACTTTTTTAGAGGATATGAAGCTGACTTGGAAATTCTTAACTTCGCCCATGAGGGGACTCCCAGACGTCTCCTTACTGTGTTTGTAGTATAATGAACATGGAGAAGGTGATCTCTTGTTCCCGTCTAGTTCTAGAATTCTGTCAATGTTACAGAAATTTAAAAAATTCCTGGGTTGGAAGCCTAGTACTTCTGAATCCAGATCTTACTATTAATTAGCTATAGCAACTGAGGAAGAGCCCTTTCCTTTTCCAGGGTTTTCTCCTTTGTAAAATTAGGAGATGGACTAGATCATTTTAGGGTTCTTCCTCGACCCGTCATTTAATTTTATCTCATCGCTTCCCTTGAGTACGCTCTATGTCTTTTGTAAGGAAGCTAGTTTGTTTTCTTTCCTCTGTTGTCCAGTGTCCGTGTCTGGTCTTGGGGACTGGATTTCCCTGAGTAGGGGTGTGATCTGTGGTCCATCCTACTGACTGGGGGGCACAGAGGATAACGAAAGCGCACAGCGCTCGGGGAAGGTGCCTCTGCGAGGTTTCAGCACGATGTTCTGAGTAGGAGACTTCAGGCATATCAGAACTACTTGGTCAAATAAAGCATTTCACCACATTTTCACCATTGTTAACGGTAGAAGAATAATTCCCAGTTTCCTGAGATTAACTCATAACTTCCTTCTCCCAGTATTTCACAGGGTGTCATAAGTTTTTTAAAATTATTAAATATTTGACAAATATGAAAAAGTATAGAAAACAATATCCAGACACGAGTGTACCTAACAACCAAATTTAATGCATATCAATGTACATTAAGTACTTGTGTCAGGTGTTTTATCTTACAAGCAAATACAATATTAAAAATATAACAAAAGTCCTGGCACATCTCACCCCCACCTTTCCTCCCTCCCCAGTGGT